CACATGCACAAAGGCACAAAAATCTCAGTGACATATTCAGTGAACACCAGGAAGTGTTCCAGAAAGTTCCAGTTTTCTAGAAAGTAAAGTGTGATAACAGGGACTGCTAAGAAATGAAGCTAGAAAGAGCAGGCATACTTAGATCATGAACAGTTTAGCCAAGGAGTTTACATTCTATCCAATGAGTAAGGGAAAGCCACTGAGTAATTTTAAGCATGAAGGAATTACTGCATTCTTATTTTAGAAATATTGCTCTGACACTGAAAAACAGACAGGAAGAGCTACAGCCGAGAAGCACGGACAACTGTTAGAAGACTGCTAAATCAGTTCAGGCAAAAGACTAGCCTAGAGCAGTGGGGAATGGAGAGAAATAGATTGAGTCAAAAGATAGGTAGCAGGTAAAACTACAGGATTTGGTAACAAGATAGACTGTGGTTTGAGGTTTGGTAGGAAGATGGTGGAAAGGAAGGAATCAAGGCAAATTCAAGGTTTTTAGCTTGAGCTCTGGGTGGATGGAACTGCCATTAACTAAAACAGGGAACAAAACAGGAGAAACAAGGTAAAAGTAAGTAAAGCTGATGAGTACAGATGGTGTTAGTACTTCTGGTACATCCAGAAGAAATTGTCTAATAAATGGTTAAGTCTAGAACCCAAGAGAGAAAAATTTAAGATGAAAATATAAAATTGGGAGGTATTAGCCAGTAGAGTGGATGAAACTGCCTAGGAAAACTGTACGAAAGGATAAGAGTTCCAGAGACCACCAATATTTAAAACACAGGCAGACAAATAAATGAAAAGTAGAAGAGAGTGGTGATACGGAAGTTTGGAAAGGAGAGAGTTTCACGAAGAAGGGAATTGTCAATGTACTGAATGTATAAAAGAGGTGAAGAGAAGAACTTTAAAGCTTCTCTCGGTTGGCAATTGAGTAACTGGTGACAGAGAGGTTACAGAGGAATGGATGGTTAAAAAAAAAAAGCTAAACTAGACAGGGGTTGAGTGAATGGCAGGGGAGGAAAGAGTAATCTTGACTGAGATGAGACTAAGAGCTAGAGAACAGACGGTTAAAGAACATTTTCAAGATGGCAGAGATTTTAGCATTTTTATAGGGCTAGAAAGGGACCAGTGAAATGTGAGATTTTTAAATTATGCCTTTGTACTTAAACTTACTATAAGAAAAGTTACCCATTATACAATACTAAGTGAAAAAAGAAATTGAAGAATATGTATAGTAGGCTGTTACTTAAAATAAAATTCAGACTCTGTTTTATGCCTTTCAAGTTACTATCATTACCTTGTGTTAGCAACTATCTGAAATTCTTATTTGTTTAGTTGCCTATCTTCCCCCCTAGAATGTAAGCTCCATGAGAAGAGAGATTTCATCTGCCTTGTTCTCCACATATTCCTGCTGCTTAAAATAGTGCTTGGCACATAGCAGGCACTCTACTGTTGAATGAAAATGTGTATGTGCACACACACATACATATATATGAATGCATGTATTTACATGAAAAGCATAAAGAAAGTTCTAATTTATTATTTGAACTTATTTATGCCAGGGGTGAGTGTGAGACTAGGAGGAGAGGTAAACAATACTGATTCATTTTTTGCTTCATAGATCTCTATTCAAATTTTCTACAAATATCATGTCTTTTGTAACTGAAAAACAACTTTTAATAATGATCAGATGAGCCTAAGAAAGTTAATCTATTCTGCCTCTCTATTTTCTTTTGGTGGGTTGTCTTGATCTAATCTGACTGCAGGCTGATCCTTGAGCTGTTTTGGTAGGGCAGTTCAAAGTCAGAATTTTAAACCTTAGAGCTGGAAAGAACATAGACATCATCTAAGCCAACTCCCTAGTTTTACAGATGAGAAAGCAGACACTCATAGTAATTTAATAAAAGGTAACTTAATTAATAAAATTAGGGTACTGATGAGAAGTTTTTAAAGAACAAATGATTAGGAACTATTTAAAAGGCTAATCTATTATATGCTATACATAATTTAAATAATAACTAATGAAAGCTTACTAAAGCTTATTCTCACATATAACCTACAATCTTCTGGTGAAATTATTACTCAAAGTAAAACTATTTCCTTAAGCACACTATTTGACCAATGAACCCTACAGTTAAGCACTGGCTAACCATTATAACATGACAAAGGATTCAGAATACACAAATATAGGGAGTGAAGTTATTCACCGTTAGGTGTGCAAACTAACTGAACTAACAGGCACGTCTTTCTACCAGGATACACAATAGGTCAAGTATATATTACATTTAAGGATTGATCACACTTTGACTCAAATGTCTGTATCAATGTCTACAATGTGTATTTAATAGAATTTAATAAAAATTAAATTTTGAATAGGTAAGTAATACATTACTAAGTATTTAGGGAAATGACTTAACTATTTCTCTTTACATATATACTGTAGTTTACCAGGAATACAACAAATTTTATCTAAACTTCTGAATATCACTTTGAACTTGTTTACAAACTATCTCATTTGATCCTCACAACAACCCCATAGACAGCAGAAATTATTAGTCCCATTTAATATATAAGAATGAGGCTCAGAAGTTAACTTGACTAAGGTCATTTTGACAAGTCCTAGGACCCAGATCCTCTACCTCTTAGCCACTGTTCTTTCCATCACCCAAGCTACCTCATATTTACCATTTATTAAAGGGCAAACCACTTTATAATTTCCTTCCTTCCACAATGGTGGAGGTGCGGAGGGCAGGTACCTAAGCCCTAGCAATCCTATCCCTTTCTATTCCATTTGAAAGTTTGGTACATAAGAAAATATTAGCCATTCATCTTAATAGTGACAAGAAAGATGTGACAAGTCACCTTAGTTGAGAATTGTGCACATCAGCAATTCCTACCAAGTATTCAATTATTTCCTTAATTCTAATAAAAGTATCCTCTTATTTAGAAAGCTCTCTAGGGCTTCCCTGGTGGCGCAGTGGTTGAGAGTCCGCCTGCCGATGCAGGGGACACGGGTTCGTGCCCCGGTCCAGGAAGATGCCACATGCCGCGGGACGGCTGGGCCCGTGAGCCATGGCCACTGGGCCTGCGCGTCTGGAGCCTGTGCTCCACAACGGGAGAGGCCACAACAGTGAGAGGCCCGCGTACCGAAAAAAAAAAAAAAAAGCTTCCTATTAGAAAGCTCTCTATAAACAATACCCAAAGTAGTATGGGCTTAATAGTTGAAAAAAATCTGAAACCAAATCTCAGTCCTATCACTCACTAGCTGCTCAACTGTGGGTACATTTCTTAACTTCGAGTCTCACTGTCCTCATCTCTAGAGTGACGATGACACCATCTACCTCTGTGAGTTGTTGAGCAGATTGAGTGATAATATGTGCAAAGCCTTTAGTTCTTAGAAAAGGGCCAGAACACACCAAGTTCTGTTGGAGAAACAAACATGCAGGAAGGCACTGCTCATGGGTAATGTCATTTATGTGAACTTTACTAGTATAACTCCTAGTGTGACCTTACTTCTTGTCTCTCTCCAATATCTGGGGCAGGATACAATGTATCACTCTTGCTCCCAGGGTACCAATTTACAGTGCATGCTGGATTTCAGCCCTCTTCTAAATCCTCTAGTTAAGGAATATCATAATCTATTATTTGACTATCTTAGAATTGGCCATACCAAACCAAAGCTTACACTATTTTCACTCCACTCTTTAAGTCTGCTAACTGCATCATTCACTATTTTGAAATAAAATAAGAGTAAGCCAATTTTATAAATACAAATCATGATACAGCGAACTCATGTTGGGTGAAAAGGGCAGGAATTTTCAGGGGGCAGGGGGAGGGGAGAAGGACCTAACATTGAGAAATTATGTATTCAGCAGTCCATCATGCACTAAATTTACTTTCTCTCTTTTAATCTTCCCAGGCATTATTCTAATCAAGATTAGCATCGTTTTACAGATTTTGCAAGGGAAGCTTAAACCCTGGCTCACTCCCCCTCGCTCAAGGTACTATAACCTACAGGAAGGCTCTTGCTCAACTCAAGGCCTTTCCTCCTCCTCTTGTAATCTCTGCCCAGAATGCTCTCCTGTCTCCTACAAGGCCGTCGCCTTCTCCTGCTACAGGGCTCACTTCAAATAGTTCCTACTCTCTCTATCTCTAAAGTAGAATACACCAATTACTCCATCCTTCTTTCCTTCATAGAACACAAAGCCATCAGTATTCATCTTCTTCCTGTGTTGAAGGACAGCACAGATGATGCTGGCTTAATGAATGAGTGAACACACCTGCCTACAGACATTTAGCAAGTAAAAGGCAGGGCCTGGAGACCAATCCAGATTAACCTGACTGCAAATCCCTGCAGTTCCCTACCTCTATTTTTTTTCACTGGTGGAAGGGGAGGTGCTTTGGGCTGGGAAATCAATGTAGAGGTATGCCTTCCTACTTTCTATCTGTATTCATTCACTTTAAAGAAATTACAGAACCACCTACACATATACTTAATACTACAAACCATTTAACCAGAATTTCAAGAGATCTTACATTGCCTTTTAGAACCACAACTCAATTTGGGAAAACAAAAACAAACAAAAAACCCACTGCGTTTATGATGCCCCTAAACAATCAAAATACCTCCAAACTGTTGAGTAATTGGATTGGCAACTCCACATATGGTTATTTAAGGCCAAAAGAAAATTTAAGTCACACGTATAAATAAATGCATTTTACTACCAGACTTGCTTGTAATATTTTGTTCTTTTATAAGATGTTCTGAATTTCCCAATACTTCATACAGAAAAATCTTAAGACCAGCCATGGGATTATCATTCTTATCGTGGTAATCATGTTCTTTCTTAAAGAAAGATGATACGAATGCACTCCATCTGTTGTGTTTCACTATTAAACCATGTTCTTGCAGACAGAAGTCACCTCGGGTAAAACGCCCAGTGCGGTGAGAGCCGACCACTAACAACATTCCCTTTGTTGCCTTCCCCACGGGGTTTAATACTTACTGCTGAGTCCTCCATCCTCGGAGACTCCTGTCCCTCTCATTCCTAGGTAAGTCAGTCCCAATATGAGGAAAAATAGGCAGGCAGCAGTTAAGAGAAACATCGACAAGTAGTGGGCACTGAAACCCCCAGTTGGGGACACCTCCTCCCGTTTAAATTGCTGGAGAAGTTCCTCCTCAGGTTCGGAAAGCTTCTGTTTGTTATATGTGTTCTTCAGGTAGGTATGATTGGAGCCCGTATGATTGGAGTGATTGATCCTGAGTGAACCAGAGGCGGCCACCGCCGCACTGGGAGGGAGGCTGTTGGAAAAAATCCTGGGGGAGTCCACGCCGAAGGCCACACCGCCGATATGATTATTGGTTTTAAGAAGGGAGCCTGTGGACGAATCCAAGGTTGAGTCCACGTCCGCGAGCGGTGGCTGCAGGAGAGGGGCCAGTTTCTTAGCGTTAACGCGGTATCTAGGAATGGGGCTGGAGTCCGGGGGATCAAACCCTCCTCCCTGCTCCGCCGCCGCCGCCGCCGACGACGACGACGACTCTTCGACGTTTCGGCTCCTGTCTAGACTCCCAGCGGCCGCCGCCCTGTCATTCATCGCGATTCCTCCCCCTCCCTGAACTGAGGTCTCCAGTCGGCCGCCGGCCGATTTCGCAGGCAGGGGAGAGAGAGGCTTACTATGGCCCCGCCTGGGCCGATGCCGGGAAAGGGAGTCGTCCTTCAATACCTGTCTGCTGGAGGCCACGTCGTCGTCCTCCTCTTCTTCCGAGTCCGAATAGTTCTCCCGGCAGCTGTAGGGGAGAAGCCGGCTGCCATTCACGGTCCGGCCGGACCACAGCGGCTCCTCGGCCTCCGGGTCCCTATCCTCGCCGTCCTCTCCCTCCTGCTCCCCGTCATCCGCCGCCCCATCTCTCCCCGACGGGCTCTGCAGTTCGGCAGCCGCCGGCCTCCTGGCCCCCCACCACGAGTGGGGCTTCCTCCGCTCGGCCGAGTTGCTGTTAGTCACCTCGCTGGAGGCCAGGGGCGCCGACGTCGGTTTGAGCCCGCGATACTGGAGCGGAGCCCGGTCTTTCCTCCCGCCGCCGCAGCCGCCGCCGCCGCCGCCGCCGCCCCCGCCGCCGCCGGCCTGGTCCCGGGGACTGGCCTCCACGTCCGACTCGTCCGAGCTGAAGCCCAGCAGTACTTTGCTGCCAGCCGTGGGGGCGGCCGAGGCGCCCCCGGGCCCTCCCAAGGGGCTCTCCGGGCCAGAAGCCGAGATCCGGCCCAAGCCTCCAGGAGTCCGTAAGTAGGAGAGGTCGCCTGAGACCTGCCGGACCCCCATCCCCACGGCCGCCGCCGCTGCTGCCGCGGCGGCGACCGTGGCGGTTGCCGTGTTATTGTTATTACTGTTCCGCGTCTTGGTGCTGCGGCCCCCGGACCGGTGCTGCTGCTGCTCTTCCTCTCGAAGCTTCTTCAGCTTCTTGAGGTAGACCGGGCGGGTGCTCTCCGTCACTGGGCCAGGAGACAGGCCGTAACGGCGGAGCTGAGAGAAAAGCTCCTCATCCGAGAGCTGTTGAGGCGCCGAAGCCGTTGCTGCCGCCATTTTCTCTCCAGGGTGTTTTACAAGCTCCGCGCTACCGGAAGTGACGCGCCGCCCTAGACCCTGAACTAGACCGGACTGCGTCGCCCTCCCAGCGCCACTGGCGCCTTGGCCAATGGGAGGCACGGGAGGAGCTCACCTGAGCGGGAAAGGGCCACCTGAGTCGCGCGCGGCAGAGAGTTCTGCGCTTTCACCTCGGGGTGCCAGCGCCTTCTTCCCCTTCCTTTCTGTCACCTTCTACGGCTGTTCTCCGCCCTGCCCTTCCCAGCGCCTCTCCCGGGAACTGCCTCTTGCCAAACCACACCTTGACCTCTTCTTCCCAGGTTCCTGCCACCGGGCAGTAATATTGAAGGGAAAACTGAAGTTTATGGCAGTGGTTTTCTTTCATCTTGATTACCGTTGCCAAGGGGAGCTTAGAGACTTAAAGAAATCTTGATGGCCAGACGACTGGTAATTTCCCTGACTCCTGGTTCCCTCTTTTCGCTTTGTCTTTCCGACTGACTTACCAAAAAAAAAATAAAGTGAGTTACTCTCGCTGCTCATTTGAGAAGCCTCTCCTCTAACATTCCAAGGAAAAGATAGAGTAAACCAGCCCCGATACAGTTTACTTCAAGAGTAATGGCTATTCGTTCCCTAGTTAGTTGTAAGGTATTATCGTTTTTCCCCTTTTAAAATCTGATAACCTTGATAGGTCGTCGTTTTTGGAATTGAAAGAGCCAATCACATTATATGACTGAAAAAAAAGAGAACGTGCCATCCTGCTTATTTCCTTCTTAAGACCTTTTCAACCTATAGTTATTTATTTATTGTTAATATTTTTATGCATTTGTTTTCCTAATTTTTAATTTATTTATTTTCTTATCCCTTTGAACTGTAAGCTTTATGAGCAGAGGAACCTTGCTTCACCCCTTTAGTGCCTGACACTTCAGGCACGTTCAGTAAACGTTTGTTGAACTAATTAATGAATTGCAAATGTAGGATAGTGTGAGATGAATATTTTGACATGGGAGTAGTGACAGATGAAGAGGAGAAACCTTCACACACAGTCAAAAAACAGAAACGATTAAGACCTGGATATCCAACCCCCTCATTTATAGACTAGGAAATGAATCTCAGATGAAATTTTCCCAGTTTGGTAAAGATCGCTTCCCTTTTCCTCCAACACTGGCAGAGCTGACACTTCTTGAATACTTAAACCCTAGCAGCTACATGGCAGCACCTAGCACAATATCTGGCACGCTATGATAATTTTTGTCAAATAAATTATTTTTCCCTATTACATTATACACATCTGAACGGAAAAATATGTTAGTCAAAAGCATAGATACTAGCTTTTCAACATCCTGAATCCAACAGCAGAATAATGCTCAGTAACCTGAACTTTTGACTTTTCTTAGCAAAAGCTTGCTGTCTCCTCAAAAATACTCTTACGTGGACGGGCACTTCCTTGTCCTTTATCAGAGGACTTTAAAATCTACAAATATTCCTGAATTCTAGGACTGTTAAGTACTTTAAAAAGTGCTTGACATAGAAAATTTTAGCCACTACGATGATAATGACCCCAAATTTATTACCATAATTGTCTGGATCGGGAATCAAATGATTATAAACGTATTAGACCTGTGTCTCAGGATAGCAGAGGAGTTAAGCTGTGAGTCTGAAGTTAAGCAAAACTGCATGGGGACCCAGCCCTGTCGCTTACTTTCAACATTTGTTCCACACCCTACTGGCTCTCCAGGTAGGAATCATAGAAGTCAGCCTCTGATTTTCAGGAATCTTTTGATATCCTATAAGGATTTGAAGACCATTTATATTTCTGCCTGTGACTTAGGGCAAGTTATTTAATCTTTCTGAGCCTTAGTTTCTATATAAACAAAAGAGAGATGATGAACCTTCCTCAGAAGGCTTTTTTTTTTTTTTGCGGTACACGGGCCTCTCACTGCTGTGGCCTCTCCTGTTGCGGAGACAGCCTCCGGACGCGCAGACTCAGCGGCCATGGCTCACAGGCCTAGCCGCTCTGCGGCATGTGGGATCTTCCCAGACCGGGGCACGAACCCATGTCCCCTGCATCGGCAGGCGGACTCTCAACCACTGTACCACCAGGGAAGCCCCAGAAAGCTATTTTAAGGATTAAATGAGAATATGTCCGCATAATTCTTAGCACCACACCTAACACACAATGTACATTCAAATGTTAGCCAGTAATGTACAGCCAAGCATTGTGTGTGTGTTTGGTAGCATGGCTTCTGAGAGAGAACTCCATGTAACAGCAGTTAAGGAAAATACCACTGCACAGACAGAAGTAGAAATGGTAAACCTTTGCCCAAGGCATCAAATAATCCCATTTAGTAATTAATGAAGACAAAGGGGTTTGGCAACCATAGTCGTTTTAGCCCTTGGGGGCAGAAAGATTTGGAATGAACTAGGAACCAAAGGTCTGGAGTCTCCAAGTAATGGGACTTAGGGAAAATCTTAGGTTCTCAGAACCTCAATTTATTCTTTTCTAAAATGATGATAATATTGTCTATCCTTCTTGGGCACACAATTAATATTCAATAAGTATCTGTTAAGAATAATGAATGAATGTATGTGAAAATTCTGTTCAAATACATTGTTTACATGCTAGGTATTATAGCCAGATAGTCACAACAATGAAAACTACAATTGGTATAAACTTTATACTTTACAAAGAGATTTTATATACAAGGTCTCATGGAGTCTACAAGAAACCTTTTCTCCTTAAAGATACTGAGGGCATGACTTATTGCATGGAACTATGCGGGGTTATAATTACCCTTTGAGTGTTTGAGCAGATCTTATACTTTCTCAGGAGAACCTTCACTGACCCAGCACTGTCACTACCTGCTTCCAAAGTTCTCCTCATTTACCAATGGATCTTACTCCTGCTTCCAGATTGGCTAACTTTTAAAGCACAAGCCTCTAAATTAGCAACCTGCACCCATGGTCTACAGGGAATGCAATCTCAAACTCACTCCTGCTCTACAGCTTTCAAAATTTTGACTAAGGGAAACATTTCTGAAGGATTATAGAAGGATAGGCAGTCTATCTCTTCCTCTATATGTTTTTAATATTATCTCTGCCTTAAGCCTGCTGGTCAGAGACCAGTGAAGCTTGGGCCACATTGCTAACACCATACTCCCCCTGGTTCCCAGTTAAAATACCTATTGCCATATTTCCCTTCATAGTCAGGACATCAGCCTTTATTGAAGGACCTTCTAAAGAATGATATGACACTGAGCATCATGTTCACAGATATTGTTAAGTGTTTACTTCCTTAGAGAATGTCCTTTCAGGCCTCAGTATTAGAAATAGTTGTACTTTTCCAGACAACTCATTTGGGTTTTGGATTGGTTTTGCTTTGTTTAATCTATTTATCATTATTTTTTATTGAGGTAAAATTCACATAGCATAAAATTAACCATTTAAAAGTGCACAATTGGTGGCATTTTGTACATTTACAAAGTTGTGCAACCATCACCTCTATCTAGTTCCAAAACATTTTCAACATTCCCAAAGGAGACCCCATACCTATTATGCAGGTGTTCCCTATTTCTCCCCCTCTTCAGCCCCTGGCAACCTAATCTGCTTCCTGTCTCTATGGATTTAACTATTCTGGATATTTCATATAAATGGACTCATATGATAATGTGACCTTTTGTGTCTGACTCCTTTCACTTAGCATTTTGAAATTCATCAGGATGTAGCATGTGTCAGTACTTCATTTCTTTTTTATGACTGCATAGTATTTCCTAGTAAGGATATACTACATTTTGTAGATAATTCATCCATTGATGGGAATTTTGGTGGTTTCTACCTTTTGCTATTGTGAATAATGCTGCTATGATGTACAAGACGTACACTGATGCACAAGTATCTGTTTGAATACCTGTTTTCAATCATTTTGGGTGTGTACCTAGGAATTTCAGTTCATATGGTAATTGTATATTTCACTTTTTGAGGAATCACAAAACTACTAATTTGTTTTTAACCTTATGGATGGATGCTGTTGGTTTGCTGACTTGCCATGTTTCCCTGTTTGAGATGACAGCTAGGAAGTTCATACTCAATTTTGTGTCCCAACTATAGCAAGTGTTTAGGGCTCCATAGCATATATTTAAAACATTAATCCCATTTCTAATGCCATCTAAATTTTCTGACTTTATATTCATGTGCCTCATTTTAGAAAGTGATTTCAATTTTATTTTCTCTTCCAAAGATGATATGCATCTTTTTAGCTGTCTTCTAATTATTTGGGGAATACCATATAATTCCTTTGACAATCCAAAGAGTAGGTTTTATTAGTTTTCATCTTTTACAAATAAGGAAACTGAGGTTAGAAAAGTTACTTGATTCAAGTCTCAAGAACCAGATGGAAAACTGAAACCTATGACCTCAGAGTCCAAATTTCATGTTCTCTCCACTATAGCACACCACTTCTTGAATACCTTTCTTAATTCATACAGTAATATGTGTAAAAATAAACTTAGCTCCCTCTTTTCTCACCCATCCTAAAGAGGGAGTAGTCTGTAATGAGGTGAGGAAGAGGACAAAAGATTTTACAATTGACCTATTTCTTAGTTTTATTTCTACATGCAACAACTAGAAAGAAAGCTCAGAAATATAAACTGATTATTTCACTTAACTTGTTAGCAGATCAAAGAAGTAACACAATATCATAATGATGTTATCACTTAACTTCTCTTAAAGTGCCTCAAGGATGTCTTCACTAGTTCGATCTACAAAGCTCCTGATGTTTATTTTCCTTTTTAATTGCTTAACTTTTATTCAACACTAACAGTGATTCTAAGGAAGAAGCCAGAATAAACAGGCTGAAAATACAACATGGTATGGAGAAATGTTAGATAAAATTCTTATCCTATGTTGTTGTGAGAATTAGCCAAGAAAGTTTCATAGCAAGAGCATCTGTTTTATTTTTCTGTATATAACTCAAACAGGTAAGGAACGGTCATACAACTCCAGTAAACAACATACATATGATTGATAATTATAATCTACTCTGTGCAAGAAGGTGAATTGCTAAATCATGTACTGGGAGTCGTAGAGAGTATTTCACATTAATATGTGAGGGACAAGTGTCTAAAAG